GTTGGACGATTCCGACGCGCGCATGCACAATGTCGACTAACTGGCAGGTCTCTAGCCGACTTCGGCTTCTGTGCCACGATCAACGAGGCACAAAACAAGCGTACCACCATGGTTGGCACTCCCTACTGGATGGCTCCCGAGGTTGTCACCCGAAAGGAGTACGGGCGCAAGGTCGACATCTGGTCGTTGGGTATCATGGCCATTGAGATGATCGAAGGAGAGCCTCCATACCTGACCGAGTCCCCTCTACGCGCCCTGTGGCTCATTGCCACCAACGGAACCCCGACCATCAAGGACGAGAGCAGCCTTTCGGGCGTTTTCAAGGACTTCCTCTACTTTGCCCTCAAGGTGGATCCCGACAAACGCGCCAGCGCGCACGACCTTCTAAGGGTGAGTCTCGAGCGGTGGAGCCCCCATGGCTGTTTTCGGCTTTTGTGCGTGAGCGAACTAACAAAGTCTGGTGTCACAGCACGAGTTCATGAGCCTGTGTGTCGATCTCTCGCACCTGTCCCCCTTGGTCAGGGCTGCGCGAGAAGCGAGGGCACAGGAGAAGGCCCGCAAAGGGCAGTAGCGGACAATCATGACTAGAGGTCGTGAGCGTCTGATATCTGAAGATGTGTTTTTCGTTTTGGATACCTCTTCTCACCTGTACTTCCGCATGGCTATTCCCTCCTGGTGAATACACCGTGTTTTCTGTTTTCACTGTTCCCTCTCCTTGCCTTTCCCTTATCTTGAGCATCCCTCGCAGATATAACCAAGAACATAAGCCAAGAAAGAGAAAAAAAAGTGCCAGATATATGAAGGCTCTAAACCAGACCAGCCGCATCTCGTCTCTATTTGCGTTTCTTTTAGAGGGAATTTGTGTGTCGATGCAAAGTCACCTTGTCAGTCTTTCGTCCGTTGAGTTATTTGCCATGTTTCTGCTCTTCTGGTTTCCATCGGGCATTGATGCTATGGCTTTGGATGGCGCCGTCATCACCGTTTGGCCCTTTTCAGACTGTCTTTAAGCATTGGTAACGCAGTTTCAGTAAGGCAGAAGCAAGCGAGGCAGATAAATCACCAAAGGAGCACATTTCATTCATACACTACTCCCTGTGTCAAGCTGGAGCCAGGAGACTGAAACATGCACCAGATGGCCCGGCGCTCTCCACAGCACAAAGAAAGCACATCAACATCACCAGGCCGGGATTAGTAGAGATCAGGTAGGCGAGAAATTCGAACGATCACCAAGTGATACGAACGACGATTCCATACTTTCAACACATGGAGCCTAAATGATGCAAACTATCTTGATATGCTTTGCTGATACACTCCAACACCCCACAGTCCCAAAACCGTAACCAAAAAAAAAAGACGGGCAAAACCAAAAGCAGAAGGACAAGGAGAGAGCAAAAGGGCAGACGAGGAGCGAGAGAGCAGCCCGGAGTGACAAAGTCGGAGGAGCTGCCGTTGGTGACCCACATCATGTGTAAATGTATACATATACATACACCTGTTTGCTTCCTCGACCTCCTGCTGGGGGACGTATTTCTTCTGCCGCATGGACACAGTAAAGGGCTGCTGCCCAAATAAGCAGTCGAATAATGTATGTGAGTCGAGAGACGGCCTGGGCCAGCCCCCTGGCTCGCCGCTACCAGACAAGCAAGCTACCTTTTCCAGTCAGGTACAATACAATAAATACAATGGGCAGTAAATAGCACCCTTTTCCAGGTGCACTCGTGCCGTGGCAAGTACGCCAATCGCTCCCCTAATCTTTTCTGGCATCTCGATGCGTCGTCCCAAAACTTACACGGGCACAACAACCTTGGTGCCTCGACAATAAACCAGGACGAGAGCTACAAATAAAAATAAGCAAAAGGGAAAAAAAAGAAAAAGAAAAAGCAAAAAGCTCACTTGGCTGTCGTGAAACAGCGTCGTTACGAAAACCCAACACTTGCGGGTTTTGCTAGCTCTAAAATCGCCGTTACTAGACGGATTCGAATCAGCGAGCTTGGGGTTTCCTGGCCCTCACCCGTGGAAGACGGTTGTGACTTTACGCCACGGTTTTCACCCGCTCGACCACCCGGTTTGCTGCTGTGAGCTGTTGGGAGCAAGACCGCCAGTCGCGCATATATGGCGGAGTGTGCAACGGCTGTAATTGCCCACCATGTGATGCTATACCGCCCTGGCGTCCCATCTTCTCGCCACCCGCGCGTCTCAAAACAGGACCGCAAGTGGACTCTTGCTATACGTATTCCTATTCTTTGCCTTTGCAATAGCGACACGGAGTTGTTGTCTGCGGTTCGCACACAAGTCTTTAAAGTAAAGATTTGAGCCTTCTCACTGGTGGCCGATGCGGTTCCTTCTACGAGCAACATTCAACGACACTTGAGGGGATGGGCCAAGGCCACAACCCGTACACCACCGACGCCGGACTGATAGTGCTATGGAGTCTTCACGTCCAGTTGGTGCAACACACACTCTCTATCAGGCTCTTGACCCTGGCACTTTTTGATTCCCGCGAGAAGCTCAAGCCACATTGGCATGGCCGATAGTCGACACCAAGGCCGAGGGCTCAGCAGCTATACAAACTCCGGGCGCAACCCCTAATATCCAAGGCTTGTTCTCTGTGGTCACATCGGGCTGGAAGGGTCAGTGTCGATAAGAAGATGCGGCCGGACCTATGCTCCGAAGCATTCCACGACGCCGCGAGCCTCAACTTCCAGATTGGAAACTTGGGCCAGAGCCTGATGTCTATATCGATCAGCACGCATATGTACAGCACACATATGTAGGGACCAATTGGTCTAGGTGAAGGAGAGGCATGGTTCGGGCCTATGCCCCGTTTTCCTATTAAATACTCGTGTCGAGTGTGCTCTAAATTAAATGCCAAGTTCCCGTGGTCCTTCTATCCATGCCTGCAAGTCGTTATAAAAAGAAGTAAACCAAGCATTTGCTCCCCTTGCTTGACAAAATGTCCTGTCGTGATCCCCTTTTTGGTTTAAACCCCCCGAGAAAAGCAAAACAGCGCTGGGACGATCGCACGAGCCGCTGTGAATCACTCCTGAAAACTAAAAGAAAAAGAAATAGGCTAACATGATCAAGGCGTAAATATTGTGAGATGATGGAAAGACGTCGAAAGTATGGTTTACAGGACAGTGTATCCACCGTCGATGATGACGTTGGAGCCGGTCATGAAGCCGCTAGAGTCGGAAGCGAGGAAGACGCAGAGGCCGTTGAGGTCGTCGACGTTGCCGAGGCGCTCCTGGGGGGTCATGGACTTCCAGATCTTCTTCTGGGCGTCCAGGGCGGGCACCTTGTTGAGGGCCGTGTCCATGTAGCCGGGCGAGATGCAGTTGACGCGGATCTGGTACTTTGCCCACTCGGCGGCTAGCGACTTGCCGAGCTGGATGACGCCGGCCTTGGAGGCATTGTAGCACGACTGCTCCTGCGGGTAGTTGACGATGCTGCCCGACATGGAGGCGACCAGGATGATGGAGCCCGGCTTGTTGGCGGCCATCATGGCGCGGCCGACGGCCTGGGACATAAGGAAAGAGCCCGTGAGGTTGATGTCGATCAGGCGGCGGAACATGGCCGGGTCGTACGTCTCGGCCTTGATGTTGGAGTCGGCGATACCGGCAGAGTTGACGAGCACGTCGGGAGCGCCGTAGAGCTCGACGACTGACTCGACGGCAGCGTTGATAGCGGCGCCGTCACGGACGTCAACCTTGAAGAAGGTGATGGGCATGCCCGTCTTCTGGTGCAGCTCGGCCGCCGACTCGTCGCCCAGGTCCTGGTTGGCGTCGAAGATGGCGATGGCCTTGGCTCCGGCCTCGGCACAGGCGCGGGCCATGTAGTTACCCAGGCCGCGGGCGCCGCCCGTGATTATGATGACCTTGCCAAAGACGGAAAGCTTTTGCATGGTGGCAGGCATCTGGGCGTACACCTGCTCCGTAAGGGGAACGACGGGCTCGTCCTCCTCGCCAATGGGCGGCTCGGCCACGGCGGCGCGGCTAGTGCCCTTGACGGGGATGCTGTAGTGGTCCGAGTTTCCCATGGCCACGCCCTTGGAGTCGGGCTGGTAGACCGAGACGGGGACCTCGGTCTCCTTGATCACCTCGGACGACTTCTTGGGCCGTTGGGCCGAAACTGTGAAAGCCCTGCGAGCGGCAGCAGTAGTGAAACGCGCCGGCGGCTTGGGCATAGCTGAGGCAGCCATACGGCTGGAAAGGCCAGAGAGGCGCAGGGCGGAGCGGGCAGCGGCAGCCATTGTGTCTGTTGTGTGTGGATGGGGAGGGGTTGTGTGTGATGATGTGCAGGAATTCAAGAGGGAGGAACAAAGGATTCTAGCTCGGCACTATCTCAAATAGTGAAAATTAGGAGGTAGGTGGCTATGTTTAAAGGGGTATCGTCGAAAGGCCGTATTACTGTAAAGAGGCAGGCGGGTGGAGGAAGAGGGAACTTTTGGTCGCTGTCTTTTGTGGTTCAAAAGAAGGAAGAATGGGGAGCCGTCTTGGTCTGTTTCGACAAGATATGGTGATGGTTCAAGGTACGTCAAGGGTACCCGGGCTCCTCAATAGCGACTCCAAAACTGCTGATTCGAGAGAGGAGACGGGGGGAATCTGACGGGTCGCTGAGCCGCCAGACAAGAGGGTTTTATATCTGTTGCTGGAGGGGGGGGGAAATACGGGTTGAGGGATACTATGGTGTATGTCGACTAGCCGGGCTTCGGATAGAGCGAAGGCGGCCGAAAGGCTGTGGGCGAAAACTGGGGAGTGGGCGATTCGAGACCGAGTCGCTGGTGCGCGCGTTCCGGGATCTGCTGGGTGGGCTGGCGCTGGTGGAGAGTCTTGGCTCCGACCTGGATGGGAGGATGGATGATGGGACGGAGGGGATGGATGGTGGATACGGGCAGGACAAGGCACACGGGGGGGTGTGCGGGTGCAAGATGAGCGGCGCCGATCTTGTCTGTACCGTACCCTACAAGGAGCCTGGAACCGAAGTTGGAAGCGCTGCGGGACGAGTGCCGACGCCGAGCGTGCGTGGGTGCTAGCAATATCTGTCGTCTGCCTTGGTCTGCCTTGGTCTGCCTGCTTCCTTGCTTATCAGTTTTGTGCACTTTTCCATCGATGGTGCATCCTCGCCTACGCCGCCCTTGTGTTTCTGCTGTGCGACCGACACAGCAGCCATGGCTTCCCGGCTCCTCCTCCCTGGACTCTGCCAGCCTCCCCTCTCTCGGCCGCCAGAAAGGCCGCACAAGCGCCACGCTGGTGGACGCCCGAGCCCTCAATAGCGGTGCGGTGGCGGGCCCAAGACGGGGGACACGACGGCAGGACTCCCCGGCAGACAGTCCGCGATTAAGCTTCTAGCTTGGGTAGTCTGGACGAGGCGCCCCCACACACCCAAGACCGAGCCGCCAGCTGCAACACCACCTCGAGGGGCACGCCATCACAGCCTCCACGGCCGATAACGCGTGCCCGCGCCGAGGGGCCTGTGTGCTTGCGAGCCCAAGCCTGTGTGTGTACATGGACAATGTACATGTGCAAGGTACCTGTGCCTGGATGTGTGTGCGTGCCGCGTGTCTGGTGGCGGCGGGGTCATGGCGGTGGTGCGAGGCAACGAGGGTGAAGGAGATGGACGAAGACCATCCTATCTGGTGGGGTGGGGTGGGGTGGCGGATCGGCCTTGTTCTCACCCACCCTTCCCCTCTTTTTTCTTTCCTTTTTCGCCATTCAAGCTGGAAGAGGCAGCTTCCTATGTCGCGCTTGCGTGGGACCAGGATTGAATTTGCTATGGAGCGAGTTGGGCAACAGAGAAGGGGGGGGAAAAAGCCAGAGGAAAAAAAAACAGAGGAAAGAAACTGGAGTGAGTGGCGGCGTGGACACGTACTGTACGGTGCGTTTGAATGCTTTATTAGCAGGCAAGCAGGTCCCCAGAAGAGAGCTTAGCCACAAATGCCGACTATCCGACGGTAAACTTTAGCAAGCTTCTTAAGCTATCGAGCCGTCTGGTAACAGAGAGATGAAGTCTAAGTGGAAGGAGAGAAGTTGAGAGAGCAGTTGTGGGTTGGAGACAGCTTCAGACGACGGGCGGCAGCTTCGACGTTGCCATCATTTATACTCTTCATTCTGAGCATGCGTGGTCTCTTGCCGACACACATCTCCTCTTGGCAGCTCGCCATGGCCACGGCCATGGCCAAAATCCCTAGGGACAGATGGGCGGACAGGCACACCGACACCATACACATGCCCTCACCGCGTCCCCCCTCCTGGGCCCCTTTCCCCCAGGATCCATGCGGCTGCCTGTCGTCCCCCTTTGATGGGATGGAAGATCCTTCACTTCCCGCCTGATGGGCTGTCTGGGAAGCCGCTAGGGGACCCGTCGGCGAGACGAGCATACAAGGCGGCGAGGATGCGACGGTTGGGCCATCCTTGGTTGCATTGTTGGAACGGCGGACGAGGCAGGGAAGTGCACAAGTGCGTGCTCGCACGGCACCGAGCAGTCGCACCAGGCGGTGGTACTATTGTTGGTACGATTATTGGTACTATCGGTACTGTACCTGGCATGGGCACGGCACAGGCGGACTGGGCAGAACCGGGTGCCGCGCAAGGAAACGAACCCAAAGGAAGGAATGCTTGCCACGCCGAAACTGTTGGGTGAGGTTTATTTGGCGTATGTGGTGTGCTGTCGCCTCGGACTGCCCTGGCATCTATCCATATCCAGCTTGCCAGATGCAGCAGCAGCAGCAGCAGCAGCAGCGTTCTGGGGTCGGCTCAGGCGTGGCGCGGCGTGGGGTTTGACCTGTCCATCTGACTCAAGAGGGGCTCCATTGCCGCACAGCGAATTCCCATCACGAAATGAAATTCCTCAATAATGTCGGTGTCGGAAGGTGTGGGGGAAGTGTCTTGGCCCACCACGCCGCGGCAGGTGCAGCACACTCGGCAGGCACCCGGCGGCACCTGGGCCCTCCACAGCTGCAGTGGAGCTGGCAACCCAGATTGACACGCCACCATCTTTCAGGTTGTCGAGGTTGTGAAATATCGACATGCAGAGCGAGCAATGAATAAAACGGGTTAATCGGTACCTTTTTGTGGGTAGCGGTGAGTGATGATCAGATCTCCGAACAACAGCTGCCATGCAGATGGAGAGACAGATAGGTAAAGGACTCAGTGAGGCACGGAAAACAGAAAACAGCTGCGGTTGGATTCACCCACGCCTCCGTCGATATATCGAGATAGGAAACAACCCCCCGCCGGCCAGCATGGCAAGAATGCTTGACGCGAGACAATGGACGGCGGTTTCGTCGTCGGGCTCGGCTTTGGTGCGCACACCGTCCCTCACTCTCGGAGTGGCGGCGCGCCATGTCAAGGGATTGGCGACTTGGCACGTTCGCCATCATGTTTCCATTCCTATCAACCATCGGGCCCTGACGCCCTGATCGGCTCCGGGGAAGCAGATCCGGTCGACATGGGGCCTTGCTCGGGCGCCTTGGCTTTTGGTCAGGCGGGCAACAGGAAACCTTGATGGGACATGGCGAATGTGCGAAGGGAGATGATGCGGTGTGCAGCAGGTGCGTCTCTTGCGTCTCTGCAGCACGCCGCCCCCTGCCGTCTGGCGGGCTGCTTCAGCCTCATGGCGACAAGGCTTCGCTTAAAGAGAGAGCCCTGGAAATATCGGGCATTATCTCCAGTCCACCGCAGAAGAGGCCACCTACTGTACCGGACGAGATGGGGAACTGTGGGCTCGAGGTCCCCTATTTTTTTTTTTTTGCCAACAGCAGGCTTCACGCATCCTGCAGAAATTGTTCCAAATCTCCAATCGGTGTCCCGAAAGATGCACACGAACATGTGCCGAATCATTATCAAAACTGGGACTTGGCCTTGGTTCGGGCTTTTTCCAAGACGAGAGTGGGGCTAGGGTAACATGGACCCAGATCTTCATCTGTTCTGTTTTTTCTCCTCAACACCACGTCCCTTGCGGTACCTCCGCGTACAGCTCCAACATGCATCCCAGCCGGGCGGCAAACCCGGCCGCACTGTTCTTTTTTTCTCCCTGCTTTCTTTTCTCCGGGGCGGACAAGGCCCGAGAGGGGGTACAGTGTTACGCGGAGGAAGCACAGATGGCGGTCAGCACAAAAAGCCAGGGCTGACAACACACACACCCGATCGGCCGCCCTGCTCGACAAAAGGAGTAAAAACACGGTGGTGGCCGACGGGGTTGAAAAGCTGTAGCATCTTACGGGGCCACACAAATTCTCGGCATCATCAGATGATGCCCGGAGGAACACGGCCGTTACAGCACACCATGTTCTACTCCCTTGATCCTGAGAACCAACATGAATAAGGGTACCGTAGCATGCATGTTCCCCCTTTTCCAACCAAGGAAGCAATACGGGTTTGGGTCTTGGGCTCGCCAAAGCATATCGTTACCGATGTGACGGCAAGTGCTTGGGGGAGGGCGTGGAGGATGGGATCTCGTATTTTCCCCAGTTTCAAGAGATGATAAAAAATAAAAATAAAAATAAAATGTGTCCATGCATGCAGCCCGGGTGCCCGGCTGGCGCACCTCTGCCGCCTGATTCGCCCGCCAAGCCGCAGAGGCCGGGAGGCTAGACTTCCTGCTTGCCGATCCAGGCCCGTTCCAGGCCCCTTCTCCCGCACCGCAGACCAACCAAGAAGGGCAACCCGAGCACCAACCAACCTCTATCAGAACGCTTTCCTGCATGCGTTTCCCCGCTTCCATCGACAGGTGGGGCATTTCTCTTTCACAACCAGCAAAGAGAAGAAGAAAAGAAAAAACGGCGTCGGAAAAGTCGTGGTCTGGGCTGCTCCCTTTCATGCAGGTAACCCCGGCACGCCGACCCCAAGGCGCGTGCATGCTGGCCGGGTTGCTTTGGGCCCGTTTATTTTCGTTGGCCGGTGGGAAGCCAGCTCGGTCAAAGGCAAGAAAGGGCAGGAATCGCCGAGTCGAACACGGCTCCTCTTGTAGGCGTCCGCTCCCTACCTGCTTGTCTGCATGTATCCCCTACCAACCACACGCGGCCATCCCTGGGGTCTAGTAAATGGACGGGTACGCCAAGGGGCTCTCTCATCATGATGGACACACATACATACACGTATTCACTTGCTACGTGGAATGAGCAGTTCAGATGCTGCCGGTACTTCAGGCTCACTCACTTGCCACGCCTGACGCGGGTATTGAACTAGTTTACTTTTGACTGGTGAATCGGCTTCATGGGCTGGATGGTCTAGATCTCCTCGTGCATATGTGCTTCAAAAACTATTGTCGAAAAAAAAAAAACCGTGTGCTGCAACTGTTCCCCACCCACCCATCACGGCCAAGCCGCCCCCGACGATCTCCCCCTCTCCTTGCATCTCTGCCTCGTTCTCCGTGTTCTGGAAGCCTTCCATGGGGACCATGAAGGAGCCCCACCCAGGCCTGTGGTCCGTTCTCGCCTCCCATCCTCTCTGGTGGTGGGTGGGCCGTCGTCCGCATCTCGGAGATATCCTTTTTTTTTCTTCTTTTTTTTCTTTTTCTAACCTGACACCCCTGAGATGGTCACGGATACCTACCGGGAGATAGGTTACTTGAAGGAATGGCGGCCTCTGGTACGTTCCCTAAGTCGCACTCTGATGAAGCAACGTGTGTGTTCTAGACCCAAGGGGCACTTTTGGCAGGCTTTGTAAGCGAGGACGCTACTATCAAGTTCTCCATCACAGAGGCTCGAGTATGGTCGGTTCTATTGCGCCTAGAACTGTTGAAAACAGGACTGGTACGTTCGACTTTTGTAGCCTCCAGTGACAAAGAGAAATGCGTAGCGGTATAAGACACACTACCGTACAGACTGTGACGGCTGCGAGAAGCACCCTCCAACCCTCGTACGTCGTCCGGGGGTACGTACATCCGGAGACGAGCGAGAAGCTTGAGTCGCTTTACACGTACATACCTTACCCATCCAACCCGGGCCAACCGGGGATAGATCGATCCGGACAAAAACGGGTGACGAGAGCGGCCGCCAGGGCCACCCCCCCACCCGAGCAGCGGCACCTCGTGCTCGGCCTCGTCCGACCACCCACCCCCTGAAGGCTTCTGGTCCCGTCCTCCCCAGGCCGGTTCTAGAAACGCCCACCCCACGATGCCACGCAGTCGCTGCGGGGGGGGCGTGTGCGTCCCGCAGCTGTGTGGCGACCGGCGACGACGGCAACGCCAGGGCGGGAGCTCCCGAGAGGAGGAGACAAGGGGGGATCCTCCCCGCCGTCTCGTCTCCCGTCCCAGCCATCTGGGACACTCGGTTTGGCTCACGGGCCCCCCCTTTCCCTTGGGGGCCCTTCGCCACACACACGCACACGATGCACACACCCACACACACCGGTTGTACATCGTGGAAGTCCCTGTACCGGGGCGGTCTAGACCCTGGGGGTGGAGTCGGGGTCACGAATTTGCCCTGGCCCAGCAGGGCCCCTCTTCACGATCCTTTTTTCGACGCTAGAACGGCGGCAGGGTAGTGGCTCTCGCTTGGCCGCGGCAAGGGTCGTCGGCTGTGACTGCTGACCTGGGAGGCAGGAATGTAATGGGATGTCTATGGGTTCTTCTTTTAACTCGTTATATTGTTTTATACGTGTTCTAATCCTTGATCCAGCCTCTATCAGAAAATGGACACGCAACCCGAAAAACGCCAGATCAATGTTGCAAAAGATTAACAAGTAGAAACCCAACCAAGATTTACGCCAGACATGGTTGGAACACCAACAAAAGTCTCTAAGCTAGACCTCAGACTCACCCGGGCTAGATAAAATAGAACACCTCTCCACTCTCCCGTAAAAAGTCAGACCCTACTCCTAGGCCGCCGCCTAGTTCGCACGGAGGAACGTCTTGAACAGGTCGGAGCTGGTGCAGTCGGTCCACGGGTAGCCGATGGCCCTGAGGAACTTGTCCAGCTCCCCGACCTCGGCGTCGGGGCACTGGATGCCGGCCAGGATCTTGCCGACGTCGCTACCGTAGTTACGGTACTGGAACAGGCTGATGTTGTAGCGCGGCCGCAGCGTGGCCAGGAACTTCTCGAGCGCCCCGGGCCGCTCGGGGAACTCAAACATGTACAGCCGCTCGTTGGGGACGTTGGACCGCCCGCCCACGAGGTAGCGAACGTGGCTCTTCGCCAGCTCGTCGCCAGACAGGTCCGTCACCTCCATGTCGGCCTCGGAGATGCGCTGCATCAGGCTCTGCAGCTGCTGGGCCCGCTGTGTCGCAGGCCCGCTCAGGGACAGGCCCAGGAGGATGTTGGCGGCCGAGTCGTCGGCGTAGCGGTACGTGAACTCGGTCACGTTGTTGGGCATGACGGCCTTGATCAGCTCCGCGAAGGAGCCCGGCCGTTCGGGGATGCGCACCGACAGGAGGGCCTCGCGGCCCTCGCCGACGTTGGCGCGCTCGGCCACGAAGCGGAGTCGGTCAAAGTTCATGTTGGCGCCACTCGTGATGGCGACGAGCGAGCGCTTGGCATCGCCCGACGGGTTGCTGGCCACCCACTTCTTGAGCCCCGCGAGGGCCAGCGCGCCCGCAGGCTCGACGACGGACCGCGTGTCCTCAAAGATGTCCTTGATAGCGGCGCAGGCCTCGTCGGTGGTGACCTCGACCATCTCGTCGATGACCTCGCGGCAGATGCGGAACGTCTCCTCGCCGACCGTCTTGACAGCGGCGCCGTCGGCGAACAGGCCGACGTCCTTGAGCAGCACGCGCTCGCCCTTGGCCAGGGACTGCGTCATGGCGTTGGCGTCGTGGGCCTCGACGCCAATGATGCGCACGTGCGGCGCGATGCGCTTCACGTAGACGCCGATACCGGCGATCAGGCCGCCGCCGCCGACGCAGCAGAAGATGGACTCGAGGCGCTGCAGGTTCGTCTGGCGCAGCAGCTCCATGCCGATGGTGCCCTGGCCGGCGATGACGTAGGGGTCGTCGAAGGGCGGGATGTTGATCAGGCCGTCGACCTTCTCGCGGCGCGCGCACTCCTCCTTTGCCGCGTCAAAGTCCGGGCCGTGAAGCACGACGTGGCCGCCCATGCGCGAGACGTTGAGGTGCTTGATGCTGGGGGTGCCCTCGGGCATGACGATGGTGGCGGGGATCTTGAGCTTGCGCGCCGAGTAGGCCACACCCTGTGCGTGGTTGCCGGCGGAGCAGCAGACGACACCGCGCCACGACTTTGAGCGGTCCAGGTGGGCCATCTTGTTGTAGGCGCCGCGCAGCTTGAAGCTGAAGACGGGCTGCTCGTCCTCGCGCTTGAGCAGTACATTACACTCGAGGCGATTGCTGAGATTGACGGCGGTCGTGATGGACGTCTCGCTGCAGACCTCGTAGACCTTGGAGGTGAGGATCAGACGGAGGTACTGTGTTTGCCACGTTAGCGTTTGGTACAGAGCAGAGACGAACCCGGAGACGGGACGACAGCTGGCAGATACCAGGGATAGTAGGGGCGGACACTCAAGCACGTACGTCAGGGTAGCCGCTAGGGAGTAGAAACTCCTCGGGGACGGTCCTGATGGCGCGCACCGTCTTGTCCTCGGACGGCGGCGACGGATTGGCGCTATACTCGGTCAGGGACAGGCCATTGAGGCTCGGGGTGCGGGGGGTGTGCGGCCGGGGGGTGCCGTGGGCGGTGGACTCGGCCGTGTCTGGCGGCGGCGGCGTGCGCGTGCCATTGGTGCCATTGGCGGCTGCGCGGTCCGGGGCCTCGTCGGCGACCCCGTTCACGACCGGCGCGGGCTCGGCGGGCTGGTCCAGCAGTGCCGGCATGTTCTGGTGTGCTCCGTCTGCGAGGCTTGGCTCGAAAACAGGCTCTCAGTGAGATGCCATGCCATACTGGAGGCCGGCTGATATCGAGAGCGAGGACCGACCATAATAGCAGTCATGGCGAATTTTTTAGTGGGGCCAGCGCCGTCCGACTCGCCAGCTTGGCACGCAGCTCAGGTGTGGCAGCCTCCGATCGCGGGGAGGGGTTCAGGTCACTTGATCGAGTCAGTTGGTCGCTGCAGGGATGATGCGCTCAGGGGCCGCAGCGGCTCACAGCGGCTCACCAGCGCTCTTTCCCTTTCCCAGAGCTTTTGAGGTAATAGCTTGAGCTATGACCACCCCCGGGAAGCATTCGGCGACCAAGATCTCCACTCGAGACATCGCGGGTCGTCATCGAACCACATGCGCACCTGCCCGCCACCAAAGCCCGGAGCCAGTGACAAATTGGTTTCTTATACCGGCCATAGCTCAACCCCCGCAACCCATTGCACCTAGCCGGCCTAACCAGCGAGACGGATCGAAGCCGGACCTTGCACAATGCCTAACGCGCCAGGAGAGGACAGGCCCCTGCCGTCGTCCTTTGACGAAGACCCGTATGGATAGACCCTTGAACCTTTTTTTTTCTCCTCCCCCAGCTTGGCTGGTGCATATCGCCGCCGCCCCTCCCGAGAGACTCTCCCCGCGCTGACGCCACTCTCCTCCCCACAACAGCGACTTCTACAACGAGAATGCCTTCCAGAAGATCTCGCGCAAGCTCAAGCAGCAGCCCCTGGTGCCGCTCGGCTGCATCCTGACGGTGGCGGCCTTCACCAACGCGTACCGGGCCATGCGGCGGGGAGACCACTCGCGCATGAACCGCATGTTCCGCTACCGCGTCGCCGCCCAGGGCTTCACCGTCCTGGCCATGGTGTTTGGCGGCATCTACTTCAACGACCAGCGCCACAAGGAGCGCGAGGTCTGGAAGCAGAAGCAGGAGGACGAGGCCGAGGAGAAGCGCCTCAAGTGGATCCGCGAGCTCGAGGTCCGCGACCAAGAGGACAGGGCCGCCAAGGAGAATATGGAGCAGAGAAGGCAGCGTGCTGCTGCTGTCGGAGCCAAGCGCGGGGCGCAAGCCCAGGCCGGCGCGGCTGAGAGCTCAGCGTCGGCATCAACGTCGTCGTCGTGGTACACGCTCGATGGCTGGTTCTGGGGCTCAACAAAGGAGACGGCGCCGGCGGTGGATGCAAGTGAAGTCAAGGAGAAAAAGCCCGAGAAAAAGATGAGCCTACGGTCCGATGACAGATGAAAGGAAAATAATGGAAAACTGAGGCGGGATTTGCGACCTTCATTCATGTACAGTAACCAGGTAGTGTCTTCCTGTCGGCGCGTTGGGGCAGGTTCTCCCCTTGTGAAATTACGACTTGTGTTTTGCCGCTGGCTGGCCTGTCCGTTCAAACACGCCTGCTAAATATCTAAACATATCTGTGCGGCTAACGGCCTTGTATCCGAGTATGGCTAGCGGGCTTGAAGAAATGCACAGTTGCGCCCGACTCCCAAAAGGTAACGTACTACGCCAAATGCAAGAGGATCAAAGGTACAAGAGCCCTCATGGGCTTTCTCAAGTGGTCAAGAATACCGTGGTTAGGCCATACTGCCGCCGCTCCGGTTCTGTCCCACCAGGCCGGCCATCTCCAGCAACGCCCGGTCCGCGTCCCTGTCGCCGGTGCCGAGGTTGATCCGCCGCCTGGCCTCGGCCTCCCTCGCCTCCCAGGCCCACCGCTCGGCCTGGATCTTGGCCTCCTCGTCGCCTCCGCAGCCCCAGACCTCGAGGGAGTCTATGGCGAACCGGTCCTGCAGGTTCCGCCTCCGCACGACGCTGGTGGCGAAGGCGCCGCCGCGCCGGGCGTGGTCGTGCGTGAACACGCCGAACTCGAAGCTGGAGTCGAGGAAGAGTGACACGCTGCCCAGCGCGATGGGTGTGGACGACGACGACGACGCCTTGGAGTTGGTCGTGGGCGGCGGGCACCCAAAGGCGATTCCGGGGTGCGAGGCCGACGGCGACGCCTTTACAAAGGCCGCGTAGTCCTTGTTGAGCACGCTGGCGCGGAACACGTCGTGGACGGGCTCCAGCTGGAACAGGACGCTGTGCTCGTCGCCGAAGCACTCGCGGTGCGTGTGGCGCCACGGCTGGCCCACGTAGGCGCCGAACGTGAGCTCCTCGTCCTCGCCGCCGCCCGAGCCGTCCGGGAAGCGGCGGGGCGGGATGGAGTCGGCAAAGGTGTGCTCCTGGGTTCCCTCGGGCCTGTGGCCGAGCCTGCGGCCACGCACGAGGAGCACGGTCGGGGCGTGCCAGTTGAAGACCTTGGACTCGAAGCTGCCCATGGAGAAGCCGTCCTCCTCACCCGAGTAGAGCAGCCGCATCCGACGGAAGAGGGTGCTGCCGGGTATGAAGAAGGAGAGCTGCGAGATGAAATTTGCATCTAGGATGGACGCCTTGTCCTGATCGAGAAGTAGTGGTGCTGCCATTTGCGGCTGCTCGACCATCTTGACTGGCGACTGTGGATCCTCGCCTTCGGTGGTTCTCTGCTTGCTAAAGTCCATGTTCTTGGAGAACAAGAAGTGCGTAAAGAGTCCGTTGAGACCGTCGAACATGTGAGGAAAGCAGACCGGTATGATCCTTTTAAATGTGCCAAACCTGACTCCTGGAGTCTGCTTGGTGTCGATGAAGGACGAGAGAACGCACTTGGCGACAGCCCGTAGCCCTTCTAGCTTCTCCCCCGCTACCCTGTCGGCATACTGCGACAGGTGCTCCTGGGGATCGAGAGGGGCGACCAGAAGCAGCAGCATCAGCAGCTTCTCCAAGTTTTCCGCAGGTATCATTGCCCCGCGTATTGCAGGAGTGTTCCCATGCCTGAACACGTCGACGAGATCCAAGGATTCGAAGGCCGCCATCACGAGATCATCATCCTCGGCAGCAATGATGTCGGCATCTTGGTCAAACTCATCATCCTCACCGACCTCATCCACGGCGAATCCCCGTGCGGCGGTGGTGGCCACTGGCGATTCCACGGCCACAGATGCAGCCGACCCTTTGTTGGGCGAGAACGGCATCTCAGGGGCGACCACCTCGGACAGCCTCCGGTCGTACACGGCCAGGCTCTTGAACAGCAGTTTCGTCCTGTCGGCAGAGCCCTTGGCCAGGACGCGGTGGAACCGGTCCGTCATAATGGTGATGACGACGATCATCTGGTTCAGCCCCAGCACCGCGGGGGCGTCCTGGAGGAAGGGAAAAGCGCCGATGTACGAAATGGCGTGGAACAGCACCGGGGAGGCGCCCAGGACGCCGGGGATCTCGAGGAAGCTGACGACGGTGGCCTCCTTGAGATAGTGGACGTCCTGCTCACGGTCCGCTAGGCTCCCGAAGTTGTCCTTCAAGGAGTAGAGCTCCAGGGGCGAGAAGCACTTTTCGGCAAACTTGGCCGCCTGTTACCGGTGCGCGTCTCCCTATTAGCGCATCACAAAGAGTGGTAACCGAGGTAGGAAGAGGTATGGGGCACGAGGCATCTTACAAGATGTCTTGCCACCTGCTCCCGGCTCGGCGGCCGCACTTCTGTAGACTGATCCTGACCCATCCTTGCCTGCGAGGGTGGGTGAGGTCAAACACGAGAAATCCTGTGCATAGGTGGAGTGAAAGGCAAAGAGAGCTCGTAGCTCGTGCTCTTCAACGGGCATTCAATGTCGGAGAGCTGGCGACTCCTAATACTATGACGGAAGCTCAGCTTGTCAATCGATAAGGAGTATCGGCCGCGTGGAAATCATGCGTTGGACGCAATTGAGGGTTTGGTGACGAGGCAGGCATCGGATGGGATGGCGGCTTGCCTGGCCTTGGTCGGTGGCTCAATTGCACCGTTGACACACCCGCCCTCCATGTACTGCTAATGTTCGTTTGTGGTGATTCTACGGCGGAGCTGCTGCTGACATGACCTGGAACTGAAGAAGAGCTCGGGTTTGCTTGGGTGGGGCATCTGCGTCACTGGTATTTATGGCTGGCACCCAAACGTAATTGGCATTTGAACCATTCAACGGGGCACCGTGGATGTTTTGTCTGGAGGAATGTTATCCATGACAAATAGCAAAAGCAATTGAAAGGCAGGTAACCTATGTAATAAACATCTGCTGCGCTGAGTATAGCAGGTAACATTGCGTAGATATACAACAAAAAAACAGCACCCATGATTTTCCGACACTGTCGCCTATTCCCTCACACAGGGCCGCCCTGGCTGTCCGTCAAACGGATCTAAGAGCTCGTTGGAGCATGATGGAAATAACCCCAAAATTAACCTGAAACGCCTTCTCATGGTGGAAAAGGGAACTGTGTGATGCACCTCCTTCCTTTTCGTAAAAACTGGCCTGGAAGCTCAGAGTAACAAGACCACTTCGTCGTGTCATACAGCGCACATTATGCATCATCCACCTCCATGGGCGTGACAGAGGCAATGAACTTCTGGTACTGTTCATCCTCAGTTGGCGCCTTGACTACCGGCTTCTGGGACGGCTTGGTGGCTTTAGCTGTCCAAAGCACGCCGTCCATTGGCTGAGATTTGACGGCTTCGGGCTCCGACGAGGCCTTTCCAGGCGCGTCCTTTTCGGAGCTGCCCTCCTTCTCATCCTTGCCCGTGTCGCGCGGCAGTCGCATGGCCAGTAGGACGTACTCGGCCCGCGTCATGGTGTCCATGATGTTGTTCATATACCTCTTCACTTCCTCTGGCGGGGCAACCACTCTGTGTAGGTGGTCAAGAATCTTTGGTGACGGCGAATGGAGCTTGACCGTGACTGGCTGGTAGTAATCCAGTGTAGGGTCCACACCATATTCGGATTTGCTGCCCTTCCTGACGATGAGAAACGACGCCATGAGCCGCACCCCGTCTGGACTGGGAATGGTCTCCAAGATGCTGAACTTGGGAAACAGGTAGCGATCCCCAGTGCCGTTGGCGAATTCGAACACAACCGCGGATATCTCGGGCTTTGGCGCTGGCGGCGGGCCCTTGGATCTCAGCGCTTGCTGGGGGGCAGCCGCCGTCCCGGCACCGGTTCCGGCACCGGTCCCGTTGGCCTGCCCGTTCGGCTTGACCGTGGCAGGGGCCCCAGAGGCGGGCCCTTGCGAAGGACTATCTGTCTCCTGCTGCTCCTTCGACCCTGCCGCGAGCCGCTGCTTCAGCTTGTCCAAGATCAACTTGAGGTCAGTAGCGTCTGCAAACTGAGGCCTGTCCTCGGCAATGCGTCGCACAATGTCCCTTGTCTCAGGCTCGTCCAGTGCGGCCTTGACAAGGTCCACAACGAGTGGGTCGCTCTTGGCTGGCGGTCGAAGATCTGCCGATGTCTGCCTCGGGTTCGTGGTGAGGACGATGTCTAGAATCGCACGAACCTCGTCGGCAAAGTACCGCACCGTCCTGCCGTTGACAAGGAGCCGGTGCGCTGACGGGCCCTGGACCGAGCCCTGGCGTTTGGTCTCGGCCGTGATCTGATCGATGATTGCCTGGAAGCGCTCCAGTTCGTCCTTGGGAGCGCGGCCTTGTGCGACCCTCTTCATGAGGTCGCGGAGATTCTCATCCTCGGTCGCCTTGTGTGCCAACATGGCAATGATGGGATCCGTGCCGGGAGGGTGGGCTGCAGGGGCAGGCGCTCCATTGGCCGCAGGCAGCGCCGAGGGTGGAGGGGGAGGCGGTCTGCTCGGAAATGATGGTTGGCCCGGGGGCGCTTGCGGGTTTGGGCTGGCAATTGGTGGTAATGGGGCCGGTTGTGTCGTACCTGGTGCCGGCGTCAGTGACGGATCCTGCTGGACGGCCGGGGTCGCCGCCAGCTCGGGGGCGCAAGGTTCGACGGCAGATGCAGGCCTCTCCGCGTCCTGCTTGGCTGCCGACTGCGTCGTGGTTGCGTTGGCGGTTGGTAGAGCGGGGCTTTGTGCTCCGGCCGCGCGAGGGGTCGGAGGCGCCGTCGGCGTGGGGGTAGACGTCGATAGTGGTGGCATGGTGCCGTTGGACGGCCCATACTGGATCACTGGCCGCTGAGGGGGTAGCGGCGCAGGCGGTTTCGGGTCCTTGACGGCGTACATCACGGCATCGAAAGCGTGTGGCTCGACCGTGACAGTTACGGTGCCTAGCTTCGACATGCTGTCCTTGGGCGGGTTGTTCGGCTCCTCGATCACGACGCCTTTCCGCTTTGTAGGCTTGGTCCAGTACTTTTCGAATATACCCTCGCTTAGCCATTTTTGACGCGACCGCTGCAGAGACTCGCCGGCAACACCACTAATAGTCATACAAGATTAGCCACATGATCCAGGGACGGTCCGAAGGTGGCGGCGAACCGGGGCAAGGCTACGAACCTCTCTGCGATGGACTGATAGTGTTTGCTAGGCAAGCTCTCGGGTTGTGGCTCGTCGACGACAGGCAGGGGCTTGCCCGGCTGGACGGACTTGGGCAGAGGCTGGGGTGGAGGAGCGGCGGGCTCCTCGACGGGCGGCGGCGGAGCAGCGACGGGCGTCGCGGAGCGATTGTCTGGGGGCGTGGCTGTCCTCTTCTTGGACGCCTGCTCAACGCGGGCGGCAGCCCTTGCCGGCATCTTCCTCTTTCTTTCCATCTTCGGCGGCGCTCTGGGGGGGTCACTCGGTCATCGGTACGTTGCGCGCGGGCGTGTGCCGTCCAGGGTCTGAATCCGACGGCGGAGACGGCGGGCGCAGAAGCGAGCTGTGTCCAGGAAATGGAGAGTACCTTGGAAAGGCTAGGTCCGGTGCTGCTGGTAGTCGGCGTCTAGGCTATCTGCCCGCGCCCTCGGACCTGATCGAGACCGAATGTGCGCAGATAGCTGGCGGTTGTTTGCTGAGGCAAGGCTCTGGGCGCCTGGCAAGGTTTGGCGTGGTCCCCCAGGTCGAGTGGGCCCCAGGCGGGAACCGAGTAGTAGCAAAAGCTTGAGAAGGCAAGTGGCAGGGCAGCATGTGGCTACGAAGCTCTTGTCGCGGCCGGCTAGAAATTTCGAGCGGGACCTCTGGCTGTCGCGCCGTCTTGCTGGGGCAGTCACGGTAGATGTGTGGGTGCAGGTGGGAGCAGATCCTTGGCGGGCAATGAAACGCGTGCGCTCAAGTCTTTGACCAACGGGCCGTCGACCGCTGTCTGGATGCATCCGTGACTGTGGCGCGTGCGCGTGCTGTGTGGCACCTCGGTTGGCAGGCCGGCGGCCAAGCTCCCCTGGCGGCTGCCCTGCGTGCGCGTGGGGCGCTGCTGCATTAACGTTGCTGGCCAGCCCCGCCAGCGAACACCGCCTGCTATCAGCGGCTCTACCTACCTGGGCCCAGGTAATTGTGCCTTCAGGGGCTGGGGCAAGGGTCAGATCGCTGGTAATTATCACCGCGTGCTCCGGGCGTCGTTTCCAAGGGCTCCAAGATCCATCCGACTCTTATCGACCATGGCCCAGTGTTTCCCTACGCTTGCGTGATGGCGCTGCCAGAAAACCCTTTCGCTTCCTCCTCGTCGACGGCCTGCTAGCCATGCGCGCATGATCGTAACCTTAACAATCGCCCTCAGCATTCCTAGAACCGGGCGCGCGGCATCCCTTTTTCGTTTTCAGGAGCAACGTGCAACCGTCTTTCCCCAGCCACCAATTCTGCTGCGTCCTGTCACGGTCTCCTGACCGCCCCCCCGGCGCCAGAATGGCCTGGCTCGACGCCCAGTCGCTCGCTGCCGCCGTTGTCATCGGTACAATCGGTGGCATAGCCGTCATATACGCCGGGTTTCTATGTCTCTGCGCCATTCCCTTTGTCCAGAGGAACGCCGTGTACGCCTACCGGATAAACTCGCTACTCTGGTCCAACGTCAACAAGCCAGAACGATGGGGATTCGCAAGTGAGCAGCTGTTCCACACCACACCTAAACTCTTACATTGATAGCTTACCCCAAACCGCGCAGAAAACCAAGTCACGCCTTTCTGGATCAACGTCCCGGGAAGCGAGAGCAAGGTGTACGCATGGCACGTGATGCCGCTTAATGTATACGCTAAGCACGAAGAGAGGCTACTCAAACAGGCCGAGGGGCCTCATGAGGACTTTACCCATACAGAGACCTTCAAGACGATCAAGGCTGATCCCAACAGCCGCGTTGTCATCTCGTGTGAGTTCAGCCCTGTCACGTGATATCACTGTCCATGTCCACCACGGAGGCCCCTCGATGAGATATGTTGCTGACAAGCCTAAAGTCCATGGGGTAAGTAGATACATTGTATAGAGTAGAGATAGTGTGCGGTAACCCTAACAATGTCCCCAGAACGCAGGCCACATTGCACAAGGAGTGCGCCCTCAGCAGTAAGTTGGGCTCGACTTCACTACCCCGAAGCCTCTCTGTCCCCCGCATCTAACCCTGGTGATCTAGCTATCACTGCGTGGCAATGATGCCGTCAACCCATGTCATCACTATGGACTACCGCGGCTTCGGCCACTCGCCGGGATCCCCCACTGAAGATGGACTGATCGCCGATGGTATTGCGACTGTCTACTTTGTGCTCCACGTCCTGGAGATCCCAGCCTCCCGGGTCGTTATCATAGGTCAGAGCCTTGGCACGGCTGTGGCCTCGGCTGTGGCTGAGCGCTTCTCCCAGAAGGGCATCGACTTTGCCGGCATCGTCCTTGTCGCCGGCTTTAGCAGCTTGCCAACCATGTTGAGCGGGTACGCCATAGGAGGCGTTCTTCCTGTGCTGAAGCCGCTGACGTTGTGCCCACCTCTCCTGCGGATGTTTATGCGTTGCGTGATCGACAAGTGGGAGTCGGCTAATCGACTCGCTGAAATGGTCCGTGTGGTTCTTGAGCGAGACGGACACATGCATCTACAGTTGGTCCACGCTATAAACGATGGAGATATCCCGTGCATCGAATCGGACAAGCTCTTTGCCGCCGCCGTCAAGGGGGCTGCCGATCTGGACGACAAGGCCTTGGCAGATCTCAAGGACGAGCTAACGGTTCGTAAGGGCTTGGGCTTCTCTGCACTGTATACTCAGGGCCACGTCAAAATATCGCAGGAGCTGGTCACAAATGGAGGTAAGCCGAGCGCCAATGCCCTGCAGTTCAATTCTGGATACGTCGTTTTTTTTTTTTGGCTTGAGGAAACCCTGCTAACAGCCAACACCGCCATCACACAGGACACAACGACGTCATGCTGTATGCGGCCGTTCAACTCACCCTGACGCGGGCTCTGGAAGGCTGTGTAGGACGCGACATGGACCACTAGTAGAGTAGCTGATCGACTGGGGCAATTCGCGATGGATGGCATAGGCTATTTGCTAATGAGGGCAAGAGTGGTGTTGTGTTCGATTCCGTTCGGTTAAATATACTAATAATTGGACTGAAAGTTCTATTCAGCTGCCCGCCTTTAAAATGAAGAGGTAGCACGAGGCTGCAATATATCCTGCACTGTAGCTAGTCTTTTGCATATTTACTCTGCAACGGCAGTAGTTCGTGCGACAACATCCGTCCATCAGCTTGACCGGCCACGATGGTTGACAAGTCGAGATGTTCGTGCTGTTCATTGCTGGGCGTACGTGCGCCATGGATATATCTGTGTGGCCAAGCCCATGCGGTTCTATCCAAAGGCACAGTAGCATAGATTGGGTTTCAGTGCTTACTGGCAACTTCGCCACTGTGATGAGCAGAACCGAAAACCGAACAGGCTGTCCCGAGCCGTGAGCCGAGGAATGGACGGAAAACCGTCGTATACATGTTGTACCGCCCCTTTCTAGCCTCGTCGGAACCATTTCAGTCTCCTGAAACCTCCCCATTGGACGCCGCAGTGCGCTAGAATTCGGGACGACAGGCTGTCATGGCATACAGCTGGTTTGACAATGAGAGAATCACAATCAGCTCCTAACCAGACACACCCGACGGTGTTTCCAGAAAGATGCTTCCTCCGAAGCTGGCTGCTAGTGGCGGCTTGGCCTGGCTTGCTGAACGGGGCAGATGGCCTTCCTCCCTCACCGCCTGCCAAGCCACCGCCTTCTAGGGCTGCATGCGGATGTCCGGCCCGCCAGGTTTGTTTGGCGGAGGATCTGCGAGGCGGATGCAACCTCAAACAGGTGCGTGGCTTGTACCCGGCTGGTTCCGATGCTGCCGTTTCATTGAGCCTTCTCGTGACCGCCGCGGTGCTGCCATTTTGAAGTGATATATCAGAAGGGAGATAACGGAGCCCGCCCACATCTCAAACCAGATCCCTCACCAAGAATAGAGACTCTCGGAACATTAGAACGGTGGAGTGCTGCCAAGTATAGAGAATCGACTTGCACTGACCCAACCCTGAGTTGCCCGAAGAGGCTGATGTCCAGGGCTTGGCGAATTCACTACAGACTACAGCCACAATGCCGTAGAAAAGACCAAAAGGAGAAAAGACCAAAAGGAGAAAAGACCAAAAGGAGAAAAGGGTTCTCACCTCTGACGTCTCATTCTCCGTTCTGGATATGCGAGTCTCCTAGACGCCCTCATGACGCAATTTATGACTTTGCCCTCTCTCTCTCTCGTATGCCTGAAACCGCTGGGGAAACATGAGCAGCCCAAAGGTTTCTCCTTGGCACATCAAAATATCCAAAGGGCGACGGGAAGCCAAGGCTTCAGCGAAGATCGCGTGTCCAGCCGTGTTTTGGGTAGCTTAGGGCCCTGATATCGGGTTGGCTGTGCGATTGGGCCAGAAAAGCGCGTTCGGTTCGGTGGCATGACACCACACCACTCCCATCTGAAAAAAAAGGCCTCGGGCCGCTGGCCACGCCTGCTTTCAGGGTCTTAGTAATGCCTTAGCCCAACGTTCGCCCAGCTGGGGGTGGTCCTGGCGATGCGTCCAAGGCCGGGACGCTCTGCCCTCAGGGCGGTGTGTGACAAAGTAGAAAACTCAAAAAGAAGGAAAAACACAGAAAATTCAGGCGCGACCGCCTTCCTTCTCCTTCGAATGTGATGCTGTGAGTTTCACGGCAGTTAATCACGTATGCTTCCGTACCTCGAGAGAGAAAACATTTGACTTGATTCTCTCATCAACGAGGTTCTCTCCCTCCCCTGAGCTGGGCTTGGCCTTGACCACCCTCCCAGCCACCGTTCTAACACGGCTTGATTCGCCGAGCAGAAACGTCCTTGCGCTTGCGCCGAGCCCTTGGGGGCCGGTCAGTGCGTGGATGCGGGTTGCGTCTTGCAGGTTGCGTGTTTGCATGTCTGCCTGTGTCATCAGACTTTTCCGGACGACGACGCATGGCGGCCGCCGCGCGCCCTGGCTTGCCCATGTGCGGGGGATTTACCATCCCCATCCATCCGTCCTGTTTATCCCCTGGAAAGGGGGCTGCCGTCTGTCAGCGTTCCTCATCCCTAGCTCCCGCACATCTACCGAGTCCTCAGCGTGCAGCGCCCGTCTCTCCATATGTAGTGTATATGTACTATGTATATGTGTTTGTGTCTATGTGGGTGTCTTGTTCGGTTTCAGGGGAGGAGGTCGTTTCCCTCGGCATGCGACTGGCTTCAAGTCTCCCATCTGCCTTGGGAACACCACGGCGCATACAGGCCTATTCCTGATACCGTCCACCTCGAGGGCGGCCGGGTTGGTGCCTCGAGCACACCACCCCCCCAATTCATGAACGCGACTAAGGCAAGAGAGCGACGGATCGCGGCAGCGAGCTGCGGCGACCTACGGGTTCATGCGGCGCAGGAAATGCCTCCCTGCGTGCCCGCTTCCAAATTGGTGCCTGGGCCGGCATCCCTTCCCCTCGCGGCGACATGCCAGCACTATGGGCTCGACCGACTTGAGACCGTTGACGACGGAGCTTCTTCCCTGACCGTGCAATGCGTCTGAAGTTCTTGCCCACGCACAACAAGGTACAGCACTTTGGTGCGATACGAAACCCAAGGCAGGAAGCCCATGGCGCTTTCATGGGAGAGGGGCGCGTTGCTTAATATTAGCCCTTTTGCGGTGGCTTGGGTGCCAAAAAAGAAAAAGGTCTGCAGGTCCCCAGAGGTTGAAGGTTTGGTGGGCAGGCGAGGGCCGAGAGCCTTCATTAGCCTTTTTAGAACTCGGGCCAGGAAGTAAGAACACGCCTCCAGCTGCTTATCTGCCCGGAAAGGTAAGGTATTTGCTGTACCATGCGTCAGAAATCTTCCGCGTCGTGTGGGAACTCGACAGGCTTCGGGCTCACTGGTTCCTGGCTAGAGCCATGAGCCCTCGCAAGGATCGGCCTGCCCCCGGAAATGTCTGCCGCCCGTCCGGGGGACCACCTGCGAGGCGTGTGGAAACGCCAATTCCTTGACGGGCACTGCTCCTCCCGGGACCGACGCCATCTCCAAGATATGGCTGCTGCTTCTTTCCCAGTGGCGTAAGTGAACCTTTTTTTGGTGCCCACAGAACCAGAGCCGTACCAGACCTTGCGGCAAAGGCAGTGACGACATACCTAGCCACCAATGGGGGAGCGTTCGGCAGCAGTGTCTAGCCATTTGTCTGATGTGTCCCCATCCCCGTCCCATGCCAACCTCCACCCCCTTGGTGATATCCCTGCCGTCCGCCACCGTCCAGAGCTCGCCCAACAGCTCCCTCGCATCCGTGCGGCGGGAAGCAACCCCCCCCCCCCCAATTATTTGAACCTGCCCGCCATCCCGCGGCCTCGGGCCTCCCTCCCTCCCCACACACACCTCCCACAGTCTTTACTGTACCCCATGTTGCTTCCCGTGGCTAGAACCCGGTATGTGAGCCACAATGGCTTGATATTCTTTCTCCACCACCCGGGGGCTATCTCCGGCAGTTCAACCCAGAGGCGGCGGGAGTGGAGCCGCCAGACTATCAGTCCGGACGTCTCTGGTAGTCTCTTGTATATAACTTATACACCTGCTGCGCGTCGTCGCATCTGAGTCTCCCCCGACTTGTCCCGTCCTTTTGTGGCACCCTATCTCCCGCCCGCCTCACCCGCTCTCTTCACCCCGTTACCGGTTGGACAAGCTGGTTCTGTGGCTGGCTTCGCTGGTGGTTTGAAGACCATCGCTGTTGTTCAGCGATACGCGAGAGGGTTCCCCCGCCCCCCTGATATAATCATCGGGAGCAGCACCAAGAACTCCCACAGCCAACAGACAAGAGGATCCTGTGGCAAAAGGCCAACCAACCAGTCACCATGGCTGAGATAGGGAGACCGTCGACGTCGACGGCGACCTCGGTCGAGAGCGAGAAAAAGATCACGGGCGGGCCGGAGCCGCTGGTGGTCGAGGTCGGCCGGCCGCGTGCCGGCAGCGCCGACACCACCGAGACGGAGTCGACACTGGAGAGGCGGGACGAGAAGCAGGTCCTGCAGGCTCGGGTCGACCCGGAGGGCCAGGGCCAGGAGGTGGTCGAGGCGCGGATGGAGGACATTGCCGTCAAGGCCCTGAGCACCGACGACGACGTGACGCTGAACCCGTGGACGTTTCGCGCCTTTTTCATGTAAGCAGCTTGAGCGAGGGGCGTCGCTATCGTTTGCACGCGGTTGAAAAAGTTACTGACGATTCTCACTGCCTACCCCCCCAGCGGCATCATACTGTCCGGCTTCGGCGCCGCCCTGGCCACCATCTTCCTGTTCAAGCCGCAGCCGGTCGGGGTCTCGATCATCTTCCTGACCCTCATCAGCTACCTGATGGGCAACGGCATGGCCATGGTGCTGCCGACCAAGGGCGCCGTCGGCCGGTGGCTGAACCCGTTCCCCTTCAACTCCAAGGAGCACCTGGCCATCATCATCATGTCGAGCTCGGCCTCGTCCGTGGCCCACGCCACCGACGTGCTGGCCGCCCAGAAGCTCTACTACGGCGTCCGGCCGCACCCCATGATCTCGGTGTTCCTGCTGCTCTCGTCCCAGCTTCTGGGGTACGGGCTCGTGGGCTTCCTGCGCAAGAGCCTCGTGTACCCGGGCAAGATGCTGTGGCCGGGCGTGCTGCCCCTGAGCGCCCTCGTCGAGACGCTGCACCGCAACCGCGCCAGGATGGCCAAGCGCTGGAAGTTTTTTTGGATTGTGTTTGGCGCCGTCGCCTTGTACGAGGCGCTGCCGCAATATGTGAGTGCCGAGCCGGCCGTGTGAAGCCCGCTGGCCTGCTGGCATGCGCTGACATTCCAACCCCCTATAGATTATGCCGGTCCTCACCGGTGTCAGCGTCTTTTGCCTGGCCAATTAGTCAAGTCTCGACTTTACAAACATTTTTGGAGGTGAGCTATTCTCAACATTGCTCGTTTCGTTTCATGTTATTTTTACTGACGTGTTATCAACACCCCCTCAGGTGCCGCCGGCAATGAGGGTCTTGGCCTGCTCTCCATCGGCCTGGACTGGCAGTATATCGGGACGAGCGCCTTCTTCCTGCCGCTGCAGACGATATTGAACTCTTTCGTGGGGTGAGTTGGGAGAAGTCTTTGCGACATGAAGCGAGTGGGTGCCCCGCTCCACTTGGGGCCTCGTGTTACGACCACCCGGCTAACAATAACAAACCCACCAGATACGTCCTCTGCATCGTCCTCTTTTGCGGGCTGTACTACGGAAACGTCTGGAACGCCAAGAACTTCCCCTTCCTTTCGCAACAGCTCTTCACGTCAAACTCGACGTCGACGCGCTTCGAGATCTATAAGCAGGGCAACATCCTCAACAGCAACTTTGAGCTCGACGAGAGCGCCCTGGCGGCTGAGGGGCTCCCTTCCTTTGCCGCCTCGCACGCCTCGCACCTGCTGACCAACAACCTGTCCATCACGGCTTCTATTGTTCATGGTCAGTGCTGGGGGAAATGAAAGGGAGGCCGCCGTCCATCTTGGGGAGTCTGCTAACCTTCTACTTACACCACACACTCCAGTCGTCCTCTTCAACCCCGACGTCATCCGGGATGCGCTCCCGACCCTCGCCAGGATGAAGCAATGGGCCACCAGCCCCGGGTCACTCTTCAGGAAAAGCGAGCGGCCGGTGTCGCCGGCCGAAGACGAGAGCCTCGACCCGCACTACCGGGCCATGCTGGCCTACGCCGAGGTGCCCAACTGGTGGTACGGCGTCATCCTCCTCTTCTCCGTCGTCATGGCCATCATCTGCATCTACGTCATCCAGTCCACCCTGCCGTGGTGGGGCCTGCTGCTCGCCGTCGTCATCTCCTTCATGTTCTCGCTGATCCTGGGCGCCATGTCCGGGCTCTTGGGCTTCCGTAAGTGACAGATCTGGACCGTCCCCGAGCGAGCGTCCTATTCCCGGACAAAAAAGACGCTGACATTCTCTATACCAGACGCCCCCATCTCGACGCTCGTGCAGCTCCTGGGCGCCAAGGTCCTTGGAGGTAAGCCCGTGGCCAACATGTACTTTGTGCTCTTTGGGTCTTCGACGCAGGGGCAAGCGCTCTACCTCGTGTCGCACCTGAAGATGGGGCAGTATGGGAAGCTCTCGCCCCGCTGCACCTTTACATTCCAGGTAAGTCGGAGTGTCTTTCGGAGGCAGCCCTCCCCGTCTTTTGCATAGCTTGGAGCCCATCTAACCCACCGCCTCCTCGAAACTCGGTAGATCCTGGGAACAATCCTAGGGGCTCTGATCAACCTCCTCGTCATGGAGTCAATCACCGACAACCAGCGGGATATCCTGCTCTCCATCCAGGGCACAAACGTGTTCTCTGGGCAGGTGATTCAGTCATTCAACTCCAACGTAAGATTCCCTGCAGAATTTCAAACATCTCTTTAGAAGCATGAAGTGGCTGACTCGAGATTTTGATGTGGTCACAACAGGCGATAGCTTTTGGCGCGCTCGCAGACAAGGTTAGTGTGTTTCATATACCCATCTCATCGCCCCAGTCCATCCTGTCTCGCTAACACCCGCGTCCTTCCTCCCTCCAGATGTTCAGCATCGGCCAGCAGTACTCGTGGGTCGTCCTGGCCCTGCCAGTGGGCTTCCTGGTCCCCGTGCCCTTCTACTTCGCCCACCGCAAGTGGCCCAAGGCCGGCTTCGACTACGTAGTGACGCCCGCCATAAGCTACTTCCTGGGCTACCTGAGCGCCGGCATCAACTCCAGCGTCCTCATGCACTTTGTCCTCGCCTTTGTCGTCCAGCTCTGGGTGCGGAAGCGGTATCCAAAGTGGTTCCTTAAATACGTGAGTAAACAAGAAGAAAATAATGGCGAGTTTGTCAAGAGGGGCTCGAAGCATCGGCTGACCAACATGCCCATTCACCGCAGAACTACATCCTCGCGGCTGCCATCAGCGGCGGAACCGACCTCCTTGTCTTCATCACCACCTTTGCTGTCCAGGGCGCAAGCGGTCGAGCAGTCGTATTCCCACCGTACTGTAAGTTTGACAAGCTCCCTCCTGGCTTTGACGACAACTGGAGATCTGTATTCTGACTAGGAGCGCTTCCACGCAAACAGGGGGCAACAATTACCAGACTGGGAACGTTGACTATTGCGCAAAAAATCCTGGGCTACGCCACGCTAGCTGATATAATTGCGAAGGGGGGGCCTATCATGTATTAGCAACGATTGGTTCCAGTGTCTGATTATGAGGGTAACGGTTCATGATATAGACGGATACATGGGGTGGCTGGAATGTACCATGTCGATGTGGAAAATGCTGCGTGAAATTCCCGGGCCTGAAATATAGCTGAATAATCATCTTTTCAATGCAAGTCTGACCACCAACCTATACATGAATCATTCTCTCAAAATTGCGAGTGTAACAACATGGAACTGTAGGTCTGACCCGGATCATTGGGCCACTCGAAGCAAGGAAAAATTGCAGTAGTCTCACTGATATTCCCCAGACATGGCGACAAGAAAATCAACGGTCGTATCCCCAGCCCATCTGACGGTTGACCTCGTTCATGGCACGGATCCCGGCCATCACGAAGTTCACCCCCGTGTCGACCGCCGCGTTCCCTGTCGTCACGGGGCCTGCCCGCTGCGAGTTGACTAGGTCCTGCTGGTCGAGTAGACATTGCCTCTTATGGAGCACGGCTGTGTGGATGGCCGAGGCCCATAGACCAAAGAGTTGTTCCTCACTTAGAGACACGTATTCCTTCGCATTCGCATGCGAACCCGGCCTCGAGAAATGCCATGTGGCGAACACGGTTTCGAACCTCTTGGTTCTGAAGAAGAGGTAGGGCCAGGCGAGGAGGAATGTGAGGGTGACGTAGCAGACGACTCTTATCCACCGCGTGGCGCGCCAGTGGTTTATCCTGCACTCGTTGTACACCGAAACAGTCTCGCCATGGTAGGGGAAGTAGACGCTGACGTCGCCTTGGTAGTTTGTCGTCCTGACAAGGTGTATCAGGCGATCTCGGAGGTACTCGCGGTCGAGGCCGACGACGCGGCGGCGCAGCACAAAAGCCTTGAGCCCGGAGGAGGAGCCGGCGCAGTAGCGGTGCACCCATTCCCGCAGAGAGGGCTTCTCGGCGTCGAGGCCAAAGGCCCCCGAAACGGCGACTGGGGAGCGGCGGGCGAACACGGTGCCGCGCTTGGCCTTCTCCAGGTTGTCGACCGTGTCGAGCTCGCTCCAGGATTGCCGGGTGGCGACATCATGGTAGAGGTATGGAGTCAGATCGATGCTCACGTCAAAGTCGATGACGCTCCTGCGCTCCTTCTTGCCGTGCTCCTCAACCATCTCTCTGTGTGTGCCCTTGACCTGCACCGCCAGCCTTGGGGGCGCCTGGGCCCGCGCTATGATGTGGCGTTCGAGCAACTCGGGAGAGGCGTCGAGCCTCGGGTCGATGTAGATCTCGCTGCTGTTGGACGCGTTCATGGAGAAGATGGGGAAGGTAGTGCTGGGATCGTCCACGGCTGGAGCTGGGGTTTGGTAAGGCGCCAGCAGGGCGTTGGACTCGGCAACGTCGGTGTACATGGGTGGCAGGTCGTCATCGTCGGCGTCGAGCCGCGGTATGTCGTCGTCGTCGTTCAGGCCATGGCTGGCGCCGCGGAAGTTGCTGCTGCTTCCAGGAGCGCCAGCCGGGCTGACGGACCGGTCACGGTAGGCAGGCACATTCGAGTGCAGCGACATGGCATCGCCCGAGCCCCCCAGCGGGGATTGTTTGCTGGGCTTGCCCATGACGATCGGCTTAGGGGAGTGTAGTGTTGGGCGTTGACGAGATTTCGAGGCCAGGGGAAAGAAACAACACGTTCACTGGGAGTGAGACGAGGGTTTGCTGCGAGTAAGACGAGGAAACAGAAAACAAGCACACACGCCTTGTGTGTTTGAGCAGAATTGATTCCGATAGTCTGGCGTCAGGAGTGATGGCAGCCTGGAGACGAGAACAAGGGTCAGCAGCCGCCACGGCAGCACTGCCACCCTGGCTGAAGTTACCCTGGCTGGGGGCGGCAAGCCCGACACAGCGGCATCGCGGAGGATCAGGGGTGCGGATGCGCACGTCGCTGTGTGGGTGGGGACAGCGTCCATCTCACCCGCAGCCTCTCGTGTTGGCTTGAACATGAGCCAACGCCGTGGCCGCTGGAGATCAAACCGCGATGCGCAGATGAGAGGCGAGAGTTTGGAGAGAATGGCAATGACTTCATGTTACCAGTGTCGACATTCACAGAACAACACACTCAACCTGAGCCAACAGTCAACATGAGTGTGACGATGATCTGAGCACGGTGACTACTGCGTGCATGAGCTGGGGTGGGCCAGCCAGGGGCGACCCATGCCTTATGTTGCCATGATCCCCCACCACGACAGCCAGCGCAAGAGAAAAAAAAAAAAAAAGGCAGCGAGAGAGCTGGAAAGAAGTGATTGAGAGCTTGGGTGAGTTTGGTGGCGCGTGTGCCCCGCATTTTAACTCTCCCTTCTGAAGCTGCCAATCGAGCCGAGGAGCTGGTGGCCGGTGCTTTTTGCCTTTTGCCATTTGCCTCACAACATTACACAATCGGCAACCGCCCGGTGCGAAGCCCCTTGGACCAACCAGATCCGACATGTCGGAGGAATCGAAGCCCGTCAGGGACCCCGCCGAGCCGGCGCAGAACCCCGCCGACGCCACCCCCGCCCAGCCCCTCGAGTCGGACGAGTCGGACGGCGATGACGACGACGGCCAGCCCGGCGCAGAGGCCGCCGCCTCGGCGCCTAAGAAGAACAAGAAGAAGAAGTCAAAGCGCCAAAGGCTCAAGGATGCCGTCTCGGGCAAGCCGTCGGACCCCGAGGCCGACATCAAGAAGGCCATCGCCGGCCTGAACCACGAGCAGCTCCAGGACCTGCTCAAGATGAACCCGGCCCTCGCGCAGGAGGTTGGCGCCGCCGTCACGGGTGCGGTCGACAAGGACATCGCCTCGGGCTCGTCGGCCACCGGCGTCTCGTCGGCGACGGACGCGCTGAAGAAGCTGAACCTGCAGGACATAATGACGGGGCTGGCGTCCAGCGGCAAGAACGTCAAGGACATGGCCAGCTACAAGTTCTGGCAGACTCAGCCCGTGCCAAAGTTTGGCGAGGCCGACCCCGCGCCCGTCGAGGACGGACCCATCAAGGTGCAAAAGGTCGACGACGTCCCCAAGGAGCCGCCCAAGATGATGGACGGCTTCGAGTGGAGCACTCCGGACCTGACGGACCCGGCCCAGGCCAAGGAGGTGTACGAGCTGCTCAACGGACACTACGTCGAGGACGACGAGGCCATGTTCCGCTTCAACTACTCGACCTCGGTCCTCAAGTGGGCCATGATGTCGCCCGGCTGGAAGAAGCAGTGGTACGTCGGCGTGCGCGCCACCCAGTCGCGCAAGCTGGTCGCCTTCATCTCGGCCATCCCCCTGCACCTGCGCGTGCGCGGCAACGTGCTGGACTGCTCCGAGGTCAACTTCATCTGCGTCCACAAGAAGCTGCGGTCCAAGCGCCTGGCCCCCGTCCTCATCAAGGAGGTCACGCGCCTCATCAACCTCGAGGGCATCTGGCAGGCCATCTACACGGCCGGCGTCGTCCTGCCCAAGCCCGTGAGCACCTGCAGGTACTACCACCGCGCCCTCGACTGGCAGAAGCTGTACGAGGTCGGCTTCAGCCCCCTGCCACCCAACAGCAGGCCGCAGTACCAGGTTCGCAAGTACGCCCTGCCCGAAAAGACGGCCATAAAGGGCCTGAGGGAGATGCAAGACAAGGACGTTGGTGCCGCCCAGGCCCTGCTCAAGCGCTACCTGACGCGCTACGATCTGGCCCCCGAGTACGACGAGGAGGAGATGAGGCACTGGTTCTTGCACAAGCAGGAGCCTGGCGATGAGCGGGTTGTCTACTCATATGTCGTTGAGGTCCGCCTTCTCTGTGCCTTGTTGAATGTTAGCTTTGACTCTTATCCAGGAACTGACGTTATATCTGCCACGCTACAGGACGAGTCCAAGAAGATTACCGACTTCTTCTCTTTTTACACGCTCGAGTCCTCCGTCCTGAACAACCCGAGACATTCCGTCATCCGCGCTGCGTACCTGTTCTATTACGCGACCGAGACTGGGCTGACGACCCCGGTGGACAAGTCTGCGCTCAAGACGCGGCTCAACGCCCTGATCGGCGACGCTCTTATCCTGGCCAAGAAGCACAAGTTTGACGTGTTCAATGCCTTGTCCCTCATGGACAACGCCCTCTTCCTCGAGCAGCAGAAGTTCGGTCCCGGCGACGGACAGCTCCACTATTACCTTTTCAACTACCGCACAGCCCCCATCGCCGGAGGCGTTAATAAGAAAAACCAGCTCGACGAGGATACGCTGAGCGGCATCGGCTTCCCAATGCTATGAGGGGGTGTGGGGGGGAACAGGGATTGGGAGGACTGGAATGTTTGCACATACGTGGAGTCAGGCGAAGGGTTTACCACGGCTCATACATTCCCGGGCTAGGCGATACCATGCTGATGCCACCTTTTTTGACCTTTTGCTATTTGCAAACTCGCATTTGTTCTGTATTGCCTCCTATGCTAGCCGCGGTGATAGAAAAACAAACAGCTCGTAGCACCCTAGCAAGGGTCAGGACATGCGGTTGTCCATGCCCAACAACTTCCCACGATTATAAGTAAAAAATAAAAAAAAAGGTAGAGAATGTCTCAAAAGAAAACAAAACCAAAATCGGTGTATGTATATCGCGTTGACCTCGAGGCAAAAAGATCCCAAAACGGTTATTTTACCGGGGCGGTCCCCAGCTCTTCGGCTTCTCTTATGTGGTCCTCCAGCATGCTATGGAGCCACGCCGTCCGCTCCATCGGGACGGCGTGGCCCAGGTCCTCGAGGATGATGGCGTACTTTGGCTGGATGGCGTCTATGAGCACCTTGCCGTGGGCCAGCGAGATCATCTCGTCCGTCGTCCCGTGGAGGACCGTGATGCGCTCGCGGCCGACCTCGTCCGCCATCTTGGTCAGCTGCTCTCGGCTCTTGTGGTGCCAGCCGGCCGCGATCAGCTGCAGCAGGAAGCCGGGCGTGGTGAAGCCGCTGTGCGCGCGCTTGTGCATCTCCTGCGCCACGAAGCGCTCGTAGTTTGTCCCAAAGAGCCCGTACTCACCGGCCCCGTCGTCCGGCATCTCGACGCCGGGCGTGCCCCTGGCCGGCAGGCGCGCGTCGTCGGGCGCGGCGAGCCAGTGGTGCGGGAAGATGCGCTCGGCGCCCGAGCGGACGCTAACCTCGACGCCGCGCGGCACGAGCAGCGCCGCGCGGTTGCGCAGGTTCTGGACGAAGCCCTTGTCCTGGCCGTTGATCTCGGCCGCCGTCGAAAGCAGGGTGAGGCTGGCGAGGCGCTGCGGCGCCGCACACCCCAGCTCCTGCGAGATCATGCCGCCCATGGACACACCCACGATGTGCACGGACCGGTCGGCCGACCAGCCGGCGTGGTCGAACACCTCGAGCGCGTCGAGCGCCATCTCCGAGGTCGAGTACCTAAGGATCGGGTGGTCGCTCTCGCCCATGCCTAGGAGGACGTGCATAGTTTGGTTTAGTTGAATGCTGCGCTCTCCTAGCTAGGGCAGGGGCTCAACTTACCCCTGTTGTCCATGATCAGGACCGAGTACTTGTCGCCGTGCTCGTGACCAAAGTACAGCGTCTGGCGCTGCCAGGACGTCTTGAAGGAGCCGAGGCCCATGATGAACTTGATATCGCGCATTCAGGGGTCAGCCATCGTGACCGCAGCTTCCTCTCCGTAACACAACCCCCACCAAAGACGAGAACCAGAGGCCAAGAACCTACAGCGATCTTGATGGGGCCGGAGCCGTGTATCTCCCAGCTAATTTTCAGCGGGCCGCCGCGCCCCTCGGCCACGGGCAGGCGGCCGCTGCGGGTCGGCACCAGACGCCATGTCGACGTCGGGAACGCCGGGTGCTTCAGCACCTCCTCGACCGTCGCGAATTTCGCCCTGGCGACGCGGCCTTGGTGTTAGCCGGCGGACTGATCCAGAAGGGGAAAGTATAGAGACAGCAGATGCGGTACAGGCTAGGCTTGGAAACTCACGATTTGGCAGTTGCCATATCCACGATCTGTCCCCGCTTTTGCTTCAATGACGCAAGAACAGGACCGGGGAGGGGGCGTGTGCGTTGGATAAGAGGACTTTGGTCAGGAGGGTAGTGCTCTCTGCTAGCGGTGTGGTAGATGCCGAGGTGTGGGACCTGGGTTTGTCCAAGCCGAAGCCAAGCGTTCAAGATCTCGCTTACGAATCGAATCGTCCAGATAATGCAAACAAGGACCGAGAGTGGGATGAGAAACAAACCACAACAATTAATTGACTAGACACAGCGATGAACAGAAACGAAAGGAAGCGCGGCGGACGCGGCGTCTTATAATTCCCCGTGGCCTCGCCAACGGCGCCAGTGATTCGCCCTCTCCGTAGGCGCTGAGCCGTTCGTCGGGTTCGTCGGATTCCCTGGTGCGCAGCCTCCTGGCGTCTCGTGTGGGGCTGCCCGTGATGGGCAAGGAAGGTCCCCCATCTTGGAGGATCTGGTCTGGATCGTGGTCTACTTTGCTGCGGCTGTTTATCGTGTTATCCGATCCGAGACGCCGCATGATGATATCCATCTTCCATATAGGGTCTTCCCTGACTGAGACGGTGATGACCGTCTCCCGCAATTGCCACCCGCACCTCCAACCCCAACAAGGCAAGAAGGGGCAGACAGGGCAGGAAAAGAGTCAGCCGCCCGCCTAATTAGGAAGGTTGCAGGAGCCAGAAGAGGGGCTTGAAGGTAAAATAGACTGCACGCCTAAATCTGTGCGAGAGGACAATTGATTGCCCTTCCTACATGGAAACTATCCGTATCCGCCAGTCTTCGTCATTCGCACACCAGCTAGGTCTGCTATCGGCACAATCAAGGTACCACATGCCACTACATCGCACAGGGTCAGCACCGCGCCCTTTTGTTTCCCGTTTCCCTTGCTCTGGCGCACCGCAGCAGACCCGGCTGAACCCCGACTTGGGCAGGTCGGCTGACCGGTTACACACCGCGGCCCCGGCTGTCGGTCATTGGGCACTGGACACACACTGCCATGAGTGACGGGGATAGCAGGGCGGTGGGAGTGAGGGGCACAGGGTGGCCATGGTTGGTGTACCTAGTAGTCGAAGCCCAGAGGCGTCAGTGTGGTGAAGCAACGAGGCTCAACTGGCTGAAGACGAGAATGTTCTGTGCTGTCTCCTGAAGCTGGACTTGCTTGCGGTAAGAAGATCCTGTACGGGGTATAGCTCCTACAAGCACCACGTATGGACATTGCAGATCCTCCAGCAGATGGGATATCTCCAAGTGTTCTTGCCTAGGTACCTAGATGTCCCTTGCTCGCTTTCTCGCACATTGTAATCTTAGCTCCTGCCGTAGCCCACGCCAGAGAGAGGATATGGTCTCTATGATGGTAATCGCCACAGTGTTCGAGAATAAGTAGACGAGCAGACAAGAAGGTCGACTTATCGCCTAGTAAGCAACCTTGCTTTGAGGATACTTCTCGCGGTAGCCAGCGTCCTCCCCCATGGCCCCTTTGTGGAAGTGATACTTGTGTTCCGCAGGTGAGCTTTGTGCAACAGTGGGCACGGGACGCGAGTCCCCTACCCCGCTTCGGCTGCTTTCTATACGGCCCACTTCACATAGTCTAGACACCTGTCTATGCAAATATCACGGCTACCGGTCAAACCTATCACGGTGGCTCTACCGCAAGATTTCCGGGCCCCCTTCATCGCTTTTCGCCATGCTGTCGACGCCTGGCTCCCTGATATAAAGGCGTCCCCGGACCCCGAGCAAGGCTTCCCCGTTGACGCCCGCTGGTCCATGTTTACCGAGATGCAGGTGGTCCTACACAGGGCCTGCTCCATGATTCAAGAAAGAACGCTTCCGGAGCTGCCGCTCGTCTCGGCTCTGTGGCGCAGGGCAGCCTTTGGGTCTGGTAGGTATGCTGGACGCCACCCAAACCTGCCGGGAGGCTACTCGATCTTGTGGTCGCCGCTCGCCGTCTGATCCTAGAAAACTCAAGGAATCGACCGTGCTCCCGAGATCTTGAGGAGGATTTGCAGTGGCATCGCGAGTGCCCCTCAGTCCTGTCGCCCTCAAGGTCCCCATTCACATGTTCGCGGATCCTCGCGCTCCTGGCGTTGCTGACAGCTGTAGAGCCGGCTCTTGTGACCGAGAAGCAGCTCCGATCTGCAGAGCCCCAGAGACTCCTCGTCGACGGCCCACTGCAAAGTCACGACACCGGACTTTCGGGCCACGGGATTATGTCACGCAGCAACTGCCTACCTGAATCGAAAAGGGGTGCGCTCACCCTACGCCACCTCTTGGAGCAGACTCCCTGGGCTCTCCAGTCGGCCACACATCCTTGCGGCGGAGATACAGAGCGCCAAGGCAACAGAGTTGACGGCGAGAGAGACAAGGGCAAGGAAATGGCCGTGGCCGAGGCTGCGGCCGCAAAGTCGACCCACCAGTTCGACTTCACGATTGTCTTAAGCATACCACCCACGGTGCGTACGAGGGTAGTCGAACTGAGGAACATATCTGGTATAATCTCCCGGATAATGTCGATATCGACCGGGGAAACGGCCTCTATCGGTGGGCCTTCTCACGCGAGCGGCGAGTGCCGACCGGACACGCGGGAAGCCGCACAGTGCACTGCAGAGATCAAGAAGGTCTCAGGAGGCATCGTTTCTCCGCAGCGGCTCCTTGTGCCCTTCCACCCGTCCCGCTCTATACATCACACCTACCAGACCCCGTGACCGCCATGGACGGCAGGTTGCGCCTGCCCTTTCCCTGTGGCCGGAAGGACCATGACCACTTCGCGCTCCATCGTTCCTTCCTTACCGGGGCAGATATCTTCTTACCAGAGACACCACCGGCTACCTATGCTTAGCATCTTTCTTGCAGTGCAGAGCAAGACCACCATACAAGTAGGTAGGCCGCAGCCATGCCGCCACAGCCACGTCCTCTTCCCCATGCCAGTCAACACTGCGAGGCTAATGGCCTAACCACACGCAGTAGATCCTACGTTAGAGACCGAAGCGGAAGCCAAGATCCCGTCAGCCTTTGGCCGCCTGCTACACCGTCAGGAGAATCCCTGAAATACGCACATTCCAAGAGCCTAAGCCTGTCCTCCCAGGAGCACGGCAGAGCACCTAATTATCCTACGTACCGAGCCCAGAGACCCGGCTCTGAAGAATAGGCTACTGGCCAGGGCCCATTTACGCACAAGACGCACAAGACGCGCAAGCCGGAACGTCGAGGCCCGAAGATGGCTGCAACAGACTCGACATCGAGGGCACCAGGCTCCGAGGCTAGGACAGATGATCCCTGATACACCCTACCCCAGGGTAAGCACACGAAATCTCCCGCTTCTGTTCCTCATCGCACCGCTGCCTAGCATCGATGAATGAGTCCAACCGAAGACGCAATGCGTAGAGATACACACACCATCTTCACACGATTCCGGCTGCAATGCTGCCTTGACAGGAACATCGCCAGCTCCAGCCCAGCGCCACCACTTGCCCCCGGCTCGCTCATGCTGCCGTTTCCATGTAGCGCCATGCCCCACAAACATATATCGGCACTCTAGACACGGTCCTCGGCTGGCAACTCAAGATCACGCCTCGCTAGCGTCACCTAAACACACTTACACAGGCATGTGCATAGCGTCTTGCCGCAGTCTCTCAAGTAAGCTCAGCTCACGCTCAATATCAAGAGACCCGCATATCTAGGGCTTGGTGGTACAAGAACACCCATCCGCGCAGACCACGACAAACGCCTCCACGCTGACAGAACCAAGATCCTCAAGGATGGGAGTACGATCATCTAGACCAAGACCCCTTATGGGAAGCCTGCCTATATCCATCACAGGGACCAACGAGATGCGTTCCAGCGCGTGATACCGAGGAAGGCCTCAAGAAGTCTCGCTCGGCTTTAGAGCATCACGGAGAAGCGGGTCGCCACGGAGGATCTGCCGTTTATAAAGATCCAAGCGCTCCATGGCCCTGCCTTGCATCATGGACTACAGGCCAAGGGCGCATGGAATACGCCAGACTGGCCCAGCATCCCTTTATGTAGAGCTGCGGGCGCGGCGTGAGGGAGAGACCCTCGAGGTGTGTATGTACAGTTTCGTGATGGGCCTATCGAGGACTAGGATCCGTCACAAAGGAGGCTATCACCAAGGGCCGGCACACTGTCCAGGCCTTGGCGCGGAGGACCTGCACGGGCACCCGGGCTGCGCTGGGCAGATTCTTACCGAGCACTCGTCGGCAACAACAGGGGTGCGGTAGTGGGCACCGCACCTGCAAGAGAGGGGTATCATTGTATATAAGAGGGCACGAGCCCACGGCCATGTGCCGTCTTCCTTTCTCTTCAGAGATCTAGATAGGCCTATAATAGAACCTATCTTGCACCATTTTGTCCGTCACAGGATCCTGATATCCGGCCTGCCGTGAACTTCCCGTGGCAGCATAGATCGTCTATCTACACTAGAAGGCCGCGTCTGGTGCATTTCCTGGTGAAGTACAGTCCCCTGGCCTCCGCGGCCGTACGTCTTGTTGGTATCCCTCAGGAGCTCGCTCCCCATACTCCAAGAAGACTCTACCGCCAATGCTCTTGGTATTGATGCTCACCCAAAAATAGAGAGTTCGAGTATCCATCTGTATCTTCTAGAAGGAAGCAAGGCTGCTAGTATTCACCCAGAAGCTTGGAGACGCCCCCGCCATAATACAACGAGGTCAAGAGAGATGTCGAGGGAGCGCAAGCCCACGTCCGTAGCCACGATACCGCAGCATCTTCCTCTCCTGTTTCTGGGCACAGTGAAAAGCTTGCTGAAACTTTCATTCGCCCTCCTTTCATATCTTGTCAGTCTTGATGATAGCCGAATCAGAACCAACACAGAGCCGCCTCCACGCTTTGAATTTCCAGAGTTTCACATAGCTTTTCGTGAGCTCCAGAATTCTACGCCCTGTGGCTCCCAGCTCCCAGATGACATGTTTGAATTCGGGGGGCTTCCGGAGCCTCCTTTCTCAAGCGATGTCGATCTAAAGCTTTGCCTATCCAACAGAATATCCTGACGATATGCGGTTTCACAAGCACCACAGCCCGCTATCCTGACCTGTCTTGCCAACAGGCTTCCCGGTCCTTGCTGACTCCAGAATGGAGTGTCATAGATCCTGTGGAGGACTTGGGATGGCTAAAGTCGAACAGGGCTTGGATCGAGGCATTTGCAGGCACCGTCGTAACATAAAGATGGCTAGATCGCACGAGAGGGTCAGACAGCCGTTGAGAGAGCGGGCAGGCTTCTGGAGAGTGTCTGCTTACCTTTGTTCCGCGTGGCGCTACTGGAAACTTGCGGTATGATGACGAGGAGCAGATGTGGGGAGGAAGAGATATCGCGGCATCGAGCATTTTGCTGGTATAATTCAAAGTATATATCAGCTGTACACATCGATGCGCTAGTTCAATGGTAGAGGAGTGTAGCTACCTAGATGCAGTGACTAAGGTAGTGTCAGGACTTGCTGGAACTTTCTGCGGCCTGGCGCGGGGAAGACACGGTGGCAAGACCCGCTGGCCACCAAGCATGCAGGGCTGCCTCGGGTAAGGAGGAGGATCAAGAGCCTCAGCAGCCACGCAGGCAGTGCTTGGCTGTTGATACAGACTGCTGAGAGCTTTGGTAAAACATATAAAAGACTAGAGTCGGCTGGGCAGCCCGACCGATGCCCAGGCAAGAGCCAATATAAAGCAGTCCCCGATAAGCCCCGATACAACCACAGCGGCTGCAGGTATCAGCCAGCCTCGCAGTCTCACTCTCTACGTCCAGCACCTTCTCCGTCCAGCCACTTCAGCCTTGAAGTAGGTGGCTTTGCCCAGAGGAAAGCAGCCACAGCAGCAAAAGCCTGGCCACTAACTTGATACCGGCTGAGCAGGCGGTCCCGTGCCCTGATACCAACCCAGCAACCGTGTCACCTCCTCGCTTACCCTACCCCACCCTCGCAGGCTTCGCTAGGGCAGGAGCCGCACGCACAAGTCCCTAGACTTCCGATATCTGGTTGCTTTTCCCTCTAGATCTTTCCTCATTTTTTTTCCTTCTTGCTTCCCCCACCAACCAACCTCGTCTTTCGACTTCCCTTCTTCCCTTCTCCAAAGCTTTTTTGCATCGCCAGCTCAGCAGCTACAATCTTCATTCAGTCTTTGGCATCGCTCCTCTCTATTACACAGCAGCAGACTCGATCGTTGATATCCATCCATCATCTTGGCTCTGTTCGCCATCCAGATCGAGGCCGTCAGACGTCAAGTCTCTGCTCCCGCTGTTCTTTTGCCCATCGTCACAGATCACGCGAGACTTCTTTATCTCCGCGCAGTCTTTGATTTCTGCCTACTCTTCCTTTACTCTTGCTCGGCTTTGACAGGCTACCGCTTCCTCGTCCAGACAAGTCATCGGCGGCACGCAGGCACCCAAGGCCTTGCTGTGCGGCGTGCTCATCATCATCTCTCGTCGCAGAACAATCGCACCAGAAGCTACCAAGCCGTCTATCTTGACATCACCTTGTTGACATTGCCTACTTGGACATCGCCTACTCTGCCTCGTCTTGCCTCGACATCGTCTAGCCGGACATCGCCTTGACTTCTTCGCGACCGACTGCTTGAGGTGCTTGGCGTGGCTCACCCATTGAGACATACCAGTCTTTCTTCTTGCTACTTTTGTTATCACGTCGCGTGTACGTTACTCCCCGATCGGTAAACTCGGCTCACCTTCTCTCCAACCTACTTCCTCTTCCACTCTTTTCCGCCACAACATCAAAACCAGGCCTTTGAAGTTCCCTTCCATCTTTCACAAGACCTTCATCTTTCCCGCACTTCAACCTACATGAGATCAGTAGCGTGGTTCTCTCATGGCCTCTCGGTTTGCTCGCGATCCGTCTCAGTGACAACTCATCTGGAGCCGCTGTCTCAACTCCTTCATTCATCGTCCATGCCCCTACTCTCCAAGCTCTCCGTCACGCAATTGGTGCACCGGGCGAGTCTCTCGACAACCCGACTGGATTTTCTTGCAAGCTCGCCTTTCAGCTTTTACCTATTTCAGCTGGGTGCTGTTATGGTTAACCTGGATGATCGCTAACGTGTCTTCAGGTTTCGGTTAAGTTTTTACGCTACCTCAGTCTTGCGCATCTCCATCTCTCAACGCAATCAAGGCATCTCATCCAACAAGAGGCTGCTGTGGTCAAGTTCTCAGTACAGGTATGTGCTATCCAACATTCAACATGCAGTTGCACCATGCACTACATGCTTGCTCTGCTTGCGACATTCCCCCTTTTCTTACTATAGGCCCTTAACCTTCAATTCGCTGACTAAAAAACACAGACCCTTTAGCTCCAGATTCCCAGCCTGAAAGCACATTCCACAATGTCTTACCAGGGTGACCGATCAGGTGGCATCAATGGAGCCAACGCAGACGACGATTGGATGAATCAGTTTGTGAATTTGGATGAGCTCGTTGCCGACTTTGGCGACACTGTTCAGCCACCGCCGCCGGCAGCACCGCCTCAGCCCCCCGTCAACCCCCGGGTCAGACAGCCCCCAGATATCCATCACCAGCCGCAGGAAGATGTAGTCCCAGTTCTCAACGACGGACCCTTTCCCGCAGCAAGCCAGGCTCAGCCACAGGTGACGGAAGTCTCAGCCCACAACCCCGTGCTTGGTGAAGTTGAAGCAGGCGAGTATCAGCCACGGGAGATGATGGCAACCCCAGTCATCGACCAGCCACAGGAGATTGTAGCCACCGCTATCGAGCAGCCACAATACATGGCAGCCCCAAACATCGACCTCATGCCTCCTCAAGTCCCAGCAGGAGAGTATTACGAGCCACAGGAGATGGCAGCCCCACCCGTCGACCCTCTGCTTTTTGAGGATGAAGCAAACGTGTATCAGCCACATGGAATGTCGGCCCCAGCTATCGATCCTACCCTCTTCCGTGCAGGAAGCCAGACTCAGCCACAGGAGAGTCCATCCATCCAGCCTGGTGCCAACTCAGTCCAGAACGATCTTCAGGCTCTTCAGCCACTTGTCGAGTTCATCGACCTTACACAGGATGATATCATCGACAATACACAGGATGAGCCACAGCATTACCCCGTCGCCGCGCCCCCACCTCCCGCTGCTCCAGCCAACGGGGAGGGACCTAGCAACATCGGATATCCTGTCGAGGTCATCTCTGGCTCCACTCCTGGCGCTATGGGCATGCAGCCTCGGGCCACAGGTGGCGGTGCCTTCGACAACCAGCTCCCTGAACCCGCTCCCAGGGTGGTCGGCTACGGTGTCCAGCACGTTGAAATCACAGGTACGCACCATAGCTTCCCCACACGCAGTCTCTGACAATTGGTCAACACGTTTCTAACTAGAGGCTCTTCGAATCTCTTTAGCCTCTCGTCCAGCCCGTCGTTCAGGCCAAGCGGTTGCCCAGGCCTCCAACGTCAACCCAGGCCAAGGCCAGCCGCCCCTGCCGCCCGCCTCCCAGCTGGGCCGCCCGGGCACCAGCCACCTCTCTGCCGTGCCAAACCAGACTGCCGGCACCGGGCCCCACTTTGACGTCGAGCAGGGCATCCTCGGCATCTACGAGGTTAACCACACGCCCTACCAGCCACGCATGCCTCCTCGCTCGATAGTAAGTCCGACCATTGCAAGTCCCGTGACCTGGCCAGCAAACAAGGGTCACCAGCCCTAAGCACCTTTCCCGAACTCTGCCCATATTAGTAGTGCCCCGCCCCAACCTCGAGTGTTTTTTTTTTCTCTTCCAGCCCCAACGCGAAGGCGTCCTTTTCTCTCTTGTTCAAACACAAACACATACACACACACACACACACACACACACACACACACACACACACACACACACGACCAAGTAAAGAGA